TCACTCACTCTCACTCTCACGCTTTACACGACTGGTTGGAAACAAACAGTGTAAAAAGACAGATGATGAATGACTGAATTTATGGCGGCGGTTTTCGTATATTTGGGGTAAAAAGATTTTCAGTCGAGCATCGCCTTCCTTCTCGATGTGATGCCGTTAATTTCTATAAATGCATACACATGTACACGCACATATTTGTATGTATATGTATGTATGTAAAAATGAACAAATTGGTGAATTGATAGGTAGATGTGTGCATGTGTGTGTTTGTGCATTTGTGTCTGTATACGTACATATATACATATGTATGTGTGTGTATATAATGTGTGTGTGTGTAATATATATATATACATGTTGTGTGTGTATATAATATATATATATATATATATATATGTATATATATATATATATATATATATATATGTATGTATATATGTGTGTGTGTGTGTGTGTGTGTGTGTGTGTGTGTGTGTGTGTGTGTGTGTGTGTGTGTGTGTGTGTGTGTGTATGTGTATGTATATATATATATATATATATATATATATATATATATATATATATATATATATATATATATGTATATATAAATGTGTATATATATTATATATATATATATATGTGTGTATATTATATGTATATATGTATATATGAATAGTTTGTGTGTCTGCGTATGTAAAAAGAACCAGCGGGAAGCCCCTTCCCCAAACGTGAAATACGGGCAGCCTGCGAGAGCGGCCGCCGTTCCGCTGGTGGAATATCCCCCGTTCCTCGTCAAACCTCCCTACAAGAAGCCATTAGTTCCATTTGTTCCATGTTCCATCGCCCTCACCTGCTCCCCCCCCCCCACCCCCACCCACCCCACCCACCCCCCCGCACCGACGCAGCACAAACCGCACAAATCAACCCAAAATCCTCATATCCCCGCACTAATAGGACCCATCCTAGCCTAGGAATCAGAGACCAGGCCTGTTCACTCCCTCCCCCCACCCACCCACCCCCCCGCCCCCCACCCCAGGACGCCCCCATCCCGCCCGCAGCGCCACCACGGCGGTTATTGCAGCGACCATTCCGCGTCGATGGCTCTGCTCACTCGCGTCCGTTCGGGAAATGGCAATCGGGGGCAAGAACGAACGGAACGGCTGTCACAGATGGCGGATGACCTCTCGTGCAAGTAATGGGATTTAATAAGTATTACATATATCTTGTATACGTACGTTAATACACATATGCAACACATATATATATGCGTATACATGTGTGTGTGTATGTGTGCATATATATGAATAAACATATACAGGGAGAGAGAGAGAAAGAGAGCGAGGCATATTTATATATACGTATACATATACATAAATATATATATATATATATATATATATATATATATATATATATATATATATATATATATATATATATAACTACCAAGAGAACAGTTTAAAAACTCAGATAGACAATAATAACGTAATTATGGCTCTGAATTTTGGTTTAAAAACAAATTACATGTAAGTTAAATACAAACAATATATACGTAAATGCAAGGTAAATGAATACATATGATAATAACTATAAAATCATAAATGGAACAAAACATATACATAAAATAAACATAAAGATAAGGTAAATGAACCAGAGTGTTGGTGGAGAGGGAAGGACTATTGGGTGAACGAGGTGGTTGCGGTGGTTAAGTTGGTTGAGTTTTGGTTCATCTTGTCTATACTCAGGGATCTCAGGGATTCTGATATAATGAGGTCAAGACGGGAGGAGTGTGAGGATAGAACACTGAAATCTGTGTTACGGAAAGGGTGTGGGTGAAGTTGAGAGTGTTCTCTTATTGCCGAGAAAGGTGGTTTGCTCTAAGGGAGGCTAGTCCTGATGGATTTGCCTTTGTTCTAAGATGCGGTGTCGTGTTTTCACACACACACATACACACACACACACACACACACACACACACACACACCACACACACACACACACACATACACACACACACACACACACACACACACACACACCACACACACACACACACACACCACACACACACATACACACACACATACACACACACACACACACACACACACACACCTGCAGAAGATATAGAGCGTATATCAACCACATTCAATCAGGGAGTCATCCAGATGCGATGCACAAACCCTAAGACTCCTGCTATTGTGACACAAATATTACGTCGGCCATGCTTCTCAGCTCAAGCCCGCGACCCACTCACCAGCCTCCGCCATGGATGAATCTCAACTCGCATCGTGCCTTCCTCGGCGAATCACCTTATTGTTATTTCATATGATTTGTTTTTTTATCAACAAGAATTACTTCAATTCATGAAATAATCAGTGCGATCCTTCGTCCTGCATTTGTTTAACGTTTTCCTCCAGCCGTGGCTCACTGTGGAGTACCCCTAGCATGATCTCCTCCGGCTGTAGTCTACTTTTATTTGTATTTTACTGACATATCCAATGGAACAACAAGCAAACACATGCAACATTTTTTTATCTCAAACTCAATACTCATCTCCAAATCCCTTCACCACCATTGAATATCTAAGTATGGAAATTAGACGTATTTAGTGTTGCGAAGACCTGGAGACTCGATAACAAGGGGCCAATGACCTCGTTTGGTGTGACGACCCCGCGTGCCGGTGGCGATCGCGGCCCAAGGAGCTTTTGATAAGAGGTAACAAAGGTAAATGTTTATGGAGGTAGAGGAATGACGGGATTGGTGTGTTGTGGTGAGGCTAAAAGCGCTTGGTTAACTGAGATGGAGAATTTACGGTAGGTGCTGTAAAGGTTGAAATTGCTTATTGCATTGAGGTCACTGCTATCAGTACATCAGATCAACTTGACATTTACTGGAACACTATAAAAGAAATTTTATAGTATATGATGGCGACAGACAAAATCATAAAATATACATGTCTATAAATGATTGGCGTGTGTATAATACACACACACATACACACACACACACACACACACACACACACACACACACCACAATATGTAACAATACACTATTATATATATATATATATATATATATATATATATATATATATATTATACATATATACACACACACAATCACACACACACACACACACACAACACACACATTATACATATAATATATCTATATATAATATATATATATTACTAGGAGAAGCAGACTGAAGAAAGGGAGAGGGCGAGAAAGAGAACACGTGACAACTGCAATTTCAACGGATAAGGAGTAAACGATCTTTAAAATACATCTTGACCAATCATCTGAACAGAGATTGGGCTTCGCATATGACATCGTAATTTCATAAGACATAAATAGTATCACATTATTAACGTTAATGCTATTAATTTTTCACTAAGGTAAGATAAACGCCATGGGAACCTAGAATAAAGAAACGCTATATTATTTTGTTTGTGTAAAATTTTGTATTTTGCGATCCCGAGGGTATATCTCGAAAAAAAAAATGAAATTGGGAAAGTAATTAAATTATCGATGCATACACTAAAAATGCCAGTCTCTGCAATCACGTTCTAATCAAATATTCCAATCTCAATCCAGATTGGACGCGAACATTTTGTAATGAGATTCGCTTGCGTTTCATAGAATTAAGCGTGGGAATAAAAAGGATTTACTCAGAAGTAAAATAAACACACACACACATGCACACACACACACACACACACACATACATACATACATACATACATACATACATACATACATACATACATACATATATACATACATACATACATACATACATACATACATACATACATACATACACACATACACATACATAATATATACACATACACACAACACATACACATATATCACACACACACACACACCACACACACAACAACATGTATATATATATATATGTATGTACGTGTGTGTGTGTGTGTGTGTGTGTGTGTGTGTGTGTGTGTGTGTGTGTGTGTGTGTGGTGTGTGTGTGTGTGTGTGTGTTGTGTGTGTGTGTGTGTGTGTGTGCGCGAGCGCGCGCGCGCGCGAAGCTTCCTCCCTCCCTCCCCATTTTCTGTCTCTGCGCGCACGCGCATGATACTTATTTGTGCGCAGTAGCCATCGTTTGCAGGGCATCAGACATCCAAATCGGATATTTACGTCACTTGGATATTTTCTTACGATAAAGTATTGGCGATACGTGTATTGGTATCGGCACCGCTTTAACTATCTGGAAAGGATCGATAAAACGGAATTGCTTTTGCCGATTTTCAAGTAACGATGTTTTGGTTTCGATTTAGACAATTCCTTGTCGGTGCCCATCACCGTATATAGATAAATTTCATTTAGAATATCAATTTTCAGGTAACTGGTTTAACTAAATTACAGTAAGATACCGCGAGCATTGGTGTTTTAACCGTAATGTTTTTTTGTTTTTTGTTTTTTATTTTTTTATTACCTTACTATGAACTCTTATAATTCGAAAAGCAGACCGACCAGCCTCTGTTTATTTAGAATAATTTCTCCATACTCATCAGTAATCAAAGAAAACGAATGTCTCGATTGGTGTAGATGTGTATCTTAAAGGGGATACTTCTTTATACTTAATACCCCAACATCATATATAGATAACCAGGAAAGGTTAATGGCAATATGAAAAAATAAAAAGGCCTATAACCTATATAGATATGAATAAATATGGGCACATATATATTTGCGATTATATAAATGTGTGTGTGTGTGTGTGTGTGTGTGTGTGTGTGTGTGTGTGTGTGTGTGTGTGTGTGTGTGTGTGTGTGTGTGTGTGTGGTGTGTGTGTGTGTGTGTGTGTGTGTGACAGAAATAAAGATATACCTTTGTAGATATTGGTTAGACAGGTAAGAAAGTAAGAAGGTATATTTCAAGAATTTTCTTCATCTTTCTAAGATGCCTTTTGTGTAATCTCTAATTTACTCAGATAATTTCATCAAATTATGAGAGTAATTCGCAGGTAAAAAACAGCAAACATATATAAACAGCATTTATTTCTTATTTGTCATATATATACATATTATATACACAGTTTCACGAATTTGTACACATAGTTCAAAAATAGGCTATGTACACCCCATGCTGCAGCTATACACTCCGCCCGGTGGGATACACTTTAGTACACAAGTCTGGGGTACATACAGGTTGATAGAAAGTTTGTGGTACATGTGTATATCAAATAAAAGAAACATACAAATAAAAACAATGCTTACTCATTCTTGACAAGTGAGTGTGATGATTGACTGAGTGAATGAGGATGCATTTGTCTGTTATACATGTGGCTCCCAAATAGAGAATAAAATGCTTTAAAAAACCTTGTTTATTCAAAAGAAACGATACCAGACCAAAGTGGCTGATGTGCTTCGTATAAAATTTACCTATTAGTCCAGTAAACAATACTGCATTCGTGACAAAGAAAGGAAGTGAAGTGAGGAAGTAGTTCTTTGCCAATATTTGCACCAACAATCTGCAATACTAACAATCTGGTGTACGCACAGGCAATGGTACTAACAGGCCACAATACTAACACTGAAACACTGATATTCTGACATTGTGGTAGACAATTCTTTCCACGCAAAACATGCTGACATGCCTACTGCATCCATCCATCCATCCATCCATCCATCCATCCATCCATCCATTCATTCATCCATTCATTCAGTCATTCATTCATTCAATTCATCCATCCATTCATCCATCTATCCATCCATCCATCCAAACATCCGCTGTCAATACAAAATTACAAACCACATCGGCTTTTTGTTGTCGACCTTCTCCGTTCTAGAAGGTGAAAGGGGAGTTGAGGCAATCAGGCTACCTTTGGAGTGTTAAGAGATCAATTTCTGTTCGGAAGGATGAACTAACCTTTTGAGTCGGCACGTTGGTTGCATCCTGTGTTTTAAGGTGAAATGCTTTAGTTCCCTATGAGTGTCAAGAGTTTCAGTTTGGTTTACCTTCATACAGTACTTTAAATACTTAAGTCCTAAGGAGGCAAGGGGTTATAATGGATTAATTCAGGAAAAAAGGATACTGGTGTAATTGCTGTGTATGGTAAGTGAGATGGTCTTCTATGGGATGAATGGCTTATGAGGTATACCTAATGTACAGAGTGGGTATGAGAATTTACAGAATGATGGATGGCACTAACGATGTACCAAGCAGATGACGGCGGGTGTTGGTTATATCTGTACTTGGAGACAACCAGACCAAAATGACCTTGCTTCAAATTTGATTTTTGTTAACCTATCCGAACAAAGGGACTGAAACACTGTCCACCAATGATGTTTGCAATAAAATTTCCTAAAATCCCAAAAAGGAAATATTTAAAAATATAAAAGTTAGTTTTAAAAAGAGAAAAATTTTAAAATGTGGGAAAGTACACATGTACTCCTTAAAAAAAAAAGTCTAGCACAAGTTCCCTGTGGATTATGCAAAGTACAAAACACATTAATACTCTCATTATTTGAGAAGTAAGCAAAAGTGTAGACTAATCTTAATTATGCATCTTACATATTGTTCTTGATTAAAATGAAATACAGCATCCTAAATGCTCCCTATTTTCAAGGTCTGCATAGCAACACCATAACATCAGGCTAACAGTAATAGTTGGCCACCAGGGGGGGAGAAATCACCCTGAGGCAGGTTTTGTACTTGGTTGGCTTGCACCCCACACCTGCCACTCCAGTGGGTAGACAATTGAGATCCAACAAAGGATGCCCTCCACTGGCTTTAGCTGAACCTTTTCCAATATACTGATCACATTATAATTTAGTCCACAACACCAAAGCAAGTCGGCATAAAAACACATATCCAGGTCTTTTCAGGTACATTATAGGGCTAAATTAATAATGTATTGAGTATCTGACAACAACATTGCCTCCTGGAACAAGATTTTCATAAGCAAAAATTTGGTTGTCTACCACATCATCCCACCAGGTAGTTTGGTATAGTCCAATACAGATTTTAGAGCTGCTTTTAAACCTCAATATTCATTTCGTCATTCAGTGTTTAAAATGACAATTTTGTACAATAAGCCCCCTGTTTTGTGATAAGAAAAGCTGCCTGCATAGCAAGTGGCACATAAGAAGTTATGTTTAAATCAATTTTTCCCTGGCAGCTAACATTCTCTTCTATTTGCATAAAGTTTAAATCACAACAAAACAACTTTGACAGGGTACATGTATCTTTAAAAAATGCCTGCAAAACTGTAAATAAATAAAAAATAGTCTATAAATACTGATATAAGTAAATATAAAAATAGTTCTCTATAAGACAACAGAAAAGAACTTAACCTATTGCACTTGGCTGCTGCACTATGAAAATGCTTTGCCACATTCATCAGAAACAAAATCAAATCAAACCACAAAAACATTGGTTGTAACTTAAAACCCAAAGATATGAAGAGATAAAGTGACGGGCTGTTTTCAAGCCAAAGTGGGACGCCTGTGTTGTGAGGTGGGATTCTATCATTAGAGCCAGGGGCGATTCATGCCCTGGTACGAGCCTGGTCTCAGCCCAAGTGAAGGAGGGTAGCCAGAAGAGAATCCAGCCGCACTCATCAGGCCTTGTTGTATCATCATGGACTGGTGGGCAGCCAGATGTGAGGGGTGTGCACCAGCAGACCTTAAGATAAGTTCCTCTTGCGCTTGTCTCTGCTGAAGGTACTGCTGGTAAAGCTGAGAGGTGGGATCCACTAAGCCACCAGCTAATGCACCTCGGCTTTGTTGGTTCATGAGCGCTAAAGAGTCTCTTCCAGAATAGGAAGCCAAATTGGCCGCATTAAGATGACTGAGGGTCTGCGCTTGACTTGAGGATATTGAATTAAGACTTGGAATTTGTAGTGATGGATGGGATTGTGAAATGGGGTCCCTTGGGTCTCTTGGAAGAGATGGGAAACTACCCTGACTGAGGCTTGAGAGACTTTGATGAGACTGCTGATGAGCTGGAGTTGGAGTGCGAGGAGCTCCAGGAAGACCAAGAGCAGCACTTAACCCTGGTGATTGAGACAGGAATGGAGATGAGGAACCAGAGAGTGGACGTGGTAAAGATCCAGGAGTAAGAGCACCTTCCCCTCGACCAAAGAGTGGTGATGACTGGCCTGTCATCATGTTGGTATAGGAACGACTTAAACCCAACTCCACACTATTACCAGTGGCTGCTGGTGTAGATCCTCCTGTACCAGAACTAGAGCCAGAGGCTGACCGCCCTGCTGATACTGGAGTCCCTGATGAGCTACCACCACCTGATGAACTTCCACTACTTGGACCAGAACCAACCTGAGTCTGACTTGCAGCAACTGATCCACGAGGTAAGAGTTCATGTGAAAACAGATTTGCTTGTCCAGTTCGACTGGCCAGTGAGGCTAAAGCTGCACGATCTAGTTGCGCTAAGCGCTCTTGTGTTAATCTGTCTTGTGTCAGGCGGTCTCCTTGTAATGATCCCATCTTCTGCAGCGAAGCAATGACTGATGTAGTAGCCAAAGACGATCCTAAACTAGTTGCTAGACTAGTGACCATACTTGATGGTAAACTGGAGGCAAGACTGTTGGCCAAACTAGTTGCTAAACTGGAGGTCCACATACTCTTTTGCTGGAGATACATATGTGATTTTTCAGTGGCATGAGCAGGTGGCAAGTCACGACTGGAAGGACGACTTCCTTCACTAGGCTTTTGGTGTGCTATGGGAGGCTGAGGATGACTGTGGATTTGAGACTGTGGAGTTTGTGGGGGTTTGGTTATCTGCTGTGGTGAACTTAAGCCAGGCTGTGTTTGCATATGAGGACTTGTGATCTGTTGATGATAATTAGGCTGCATTGACCGATCTTGTAATCTAGGGTCAGCTTCAATCTGCCGAGCCAGTTCTGCTGGTTGAACACGACCTGCGAGATTCAAACTCTGCTGATGCAAGTCCGTCAAATCATTAACAGCACTTATACCACCGCGCTCTATATCTAACACTGGAACCTGTGTCGGAGTCTGCCCTCCTGCCACAGCAAATGGAGTAGCTGGCAAAGATTTTACAATTGCAGGCTCAGGATTGGGAAATGCTGCAGGTGCTCGTGGAGGTTCAGCTGGTGATTTGGACAACTCCTTATCAGGAACTGGTCTATTTGCTTCTGGCTCTGTGATGCGTGACACAATCTGTGATAAGTTGGCAAGATTGGCTGGCAGTGCTGAGGGATGAGGAGAAAATGGAACTGTCACATTTGGAGGTGCTGTATTTCGAGCCACTGGACTATCTTCCGCAGATTTACGACCTGCCCATTGAGCTGCTGAGCTGTCAACTGGACTGACTGCTGCAGCTGTCACACTGGAATTATTTTGGAAATCTTGACAACCTTTGTCTAATGCCGCTCTCTTTTTCAATGGCTGCATTTCTGATTTTTCCTGAATTGCTGGGGCAGGTGTAGTTAATCCAACCTGCACTGGGGATGCCAAGGTGGGAGTCAGAGGACCAGATGGGGTTGCTGGCGATAGTGTTGGAGTCTGCTTTTTCACCCCATCATGGCTATTGTAGTAACCTGGGGGCTTCTTTTGAGGCTGTGTAGGCTGCACTGAACCAGTGCTCTTATACTGATCAGTAAGGGGCTTTGTTGGATCATAGGAATAATAACTATACTGGGGTTTGGTCTTTTCTGCTGGCTCAGTTGTTGTCAAAGGTGCTGGGGACGGCTTATCTGTGGGAGTGGCTGGAGCAGAAGCCGAATAGTAGTTTGGAGTCTTGGCTTTTTCCAGAGTAGTATCTGATGAACTGTAGAAACTGGCATAGCTAGCTGGAGACTTTTGCTTCTTGCTAGCATCTGCCTTGCTTGAATAAAAGGAGCTCATGTATGGCACTGTAGGACTGTATACTGGTGATTCTGTTGGTTTTGGTTCTGTGGTTTGCTTTTCAGCACTATCCCCTGCAGGTTTATCAGTCATGTCCTGGTAAAATCCAACAGTAATGGCCCCATTAGCCTGATACTTGGCTTTCTCTGGATCATACGAAGGGAATGGTTTGGAGAGAGCAGTCTCGTATCGAGGTGAGTATGCAGGCACACTTGGGGACTTCTCTGGAACTGGTGAGAACTGCTTGGCACCAAAGCCTGGGGTGTGAGGAGATCTAGTCATAGGTGAGCGCTCCCCTTCCGAAGAGAAGGCTGCAGGAGAACGGTCAGAGTCAAAGCTGTGGTTGAGGGGCGACCGGTCGGACACCCCTGATGAGGAAACGGAGGCCTTTCGTTGTCTCTCAACCTCAAGCTTCTTCGCTTCTTCACGGGCACGATCGAGCTCTTCCTCTTCAAACTTGTACGGGTCATCCTCCTCATCAGGCTGGAAGAGGGAGAAAAAAAGGGTTCCTTAGCTACAGAAAGAATCTGTTACTTTGGAAATCTTTTCACCAACAATAATCCCTATACAAGTAATAATCTAAAGAATTTTAGCAGTGTATTCTCCATACAGGAGTATACAATCATTTTAGATATATTCTTAATTTCTTAAAAAATCATCTTTGAAGAGGACATTTAACCAATGCAGCCTAGATTTTTTTTCTTCTTATTTCAAAGCTGAAAAGACATTCTGATCAATCTATATATAAAATACAGCAAAAACCACATTGAAATCATACAATTTGTAAAGTATGCACTAGTGGAAAAGAAATTTGAAAAATCAAATACAAACAGTGAAATACAAAATCAAATACAGTAAGTACGTGTTATCAAACAATGAACTGTAATGTCCGTAAAGTGTAGCGTGCAACAAATAGAAATGTGAAGTGTGAGGATTAGGATTTTAATCATATTTTCCTACCTAAATCAGTATTTGAAAATGCAATATGATCTTCAGGGAATCTAATGTGAACATATACCCATACCATTATTTTACACCTAAGTTTGTGCCACTAAAGTCACATTTCATTATTTGTATTTTTCCTTCATCTAAGTAACAGACCAGACTGCAGGCATTTGACTTCAATAAAAATGGTGATGTTCATAGACAAGAGCATTATGTAGATAAACATTGTACATTTACAGGAAACAGGCGCACCTTACCAAAACATCAGTAAGTATTTTTTTTCAACATTATTCCAGGTGATCCAAACACAAAATTGGAAAAGCCATGTGTAGTATATCATATCAGACAGTATTTCACTTGTAAAAGTATAAATAAATTAATAAATAAAGAGAAAAATAAATAAAAAGAGATAAATAAATGAATATAAAAAGACATGACTAGTAAACACGTAAAATATCAGTCAAATCATCATAAGCTATCATCTACATCTTCATGTGCTCTTTAGAACAAAACAAAAGACGAAACTGCCCATGAAATTCCTTCATGTCCCACCACATCTGTCAAAGAATTCCTTCGGTAGCTCAAGGTGAAAGATTCCTAATGCAAAGATGATACATGAAGGGTTACATATACAAAAGTGAAAATCCAGTAGAGTAGGACGTAAGTGGCATAAAGCAGCAAGAACTAGGACCCTGATCTTGTGAGGACTGTTCTGCCCTTCCTTACGAGCCATGACAACAGCTATCTTATAGTTTGGATTTTAGCAATTTATCGTACATATAGAAAAGGAAAAAAAATGTATTGCTGAATCTTGGGGAGGAGGAAACATTAAGAGAATTTTGGCATGCAAATATAAATATGAACATAAATTCTTCTTTCTTTTTTTCATTCTTTTTTTTCCTCTTTAATATAATGCTTTACCAAGGTGCTGAAAAGGTACAGTAAATTACTTCAAAGGCTTTGAAGAAGCTAAGAAACAAACATATTGTGCTCTCCTGCGGTCACTGCGTTGAGATCTATTGGAGATGATGACACCGAGACTTTCTCAAAAACAGAGATAAAGCCATAGAAAAGTAGGATTGGAACTGTGAATACAATCTGAATTATCACTGAAATCTATAATAACCAAAAGTAGGTATCTTTACATCATGGCAACTTCATTTCTTATATTCACAAAATCCTTCATTTCTCTGGCAAAGAACTGATTGTGCAAACTGACTAAAATCTTACAAACAAATCTCTCCTTAACACAGAGATTATACTTACCATCTGCATACTCAATGACATGCCCAGCTGCATAGCAAGAGGCCTACTGCAATTTGCTCACCAAAATTACTCTGCAGCAATTCATGATCAACAGAACAAACTGTTTGTGAACTAGCTTCCACAAAGTAGCGTGACCTGGTCATCTAACATAACAATCATTTGTTTGCCACACTTAAAGTTGTTGATGCAGTCACCTTGAAAATTGCAAGGGAAACCACAAAGACCGTGCTATGTTGCATATTTGTATTCAATCATCTACTGACCATTATTTTCTCTCCCACAATTCATCGTTCTTCAAGCTAATCTCACTAACATCCAGTGACAAAAAAAAATGAACACAGCAAATTGATGAGAAAATAATGGTCTCTGTAGATATTACAAGGCTTACCATATTGCCGTCCTGAATCGTATATTGTCGCTCTCCCATCTATTGAAAAATTGGAAATTTAGAAGCGGATGTAAGTTACTCAGTCATAAGACAAGGAATCACTCAGTTATTCAATTCTGTAGTATCAGTTACTTTAGGGTAATTTCTACATACAAACACTTAAAAAAATAATCTATGAATTTCAAAATGTGTGTGTTTCAGTCAATATAGCAATTTGTTGTGTAATAACATGACTATGGATCACATGAAATTCAAGGATCAGAGTGCATGTAGTCTGGTCAACAAGGTAAAAAAGACTAAAATAATGTTATGAGCAGAAACATATTAAAAGTATTCATTTGCTTTTCTTGCTTTCTCCTTTATCTATCAATTCATTCTTTTTAAGAAGTACAGATTTGTTGTCTTCAATGAATGTAGTCAAAAGTGTCTTTTTATTTCATACTTGAGACTCAAAAGTTCATGATATATTCTTATGTTATCTGGTAGTGTTACAGGAAAGAAAACAAAATACAAAAACATGATATGACAAAAAGAAATTAAATCATAACAACAAATAACAGAAAAATAAAATAAAATAATGAAATGCGTGTTACTTGGGGTGTGAGATACTAATGAAAATACTGAAGAGCATTAATAAAATCATATCAGCGATAAAATTATGACTATGAAAATGATCACAATATATCAACTCCTCGCTCTCTCACATCCAACCTTGGATTAATAAATTTCCACTACAGTAAATTAACTTTGCCCCTGGACCTAAAATCACAACTAGAACCAAAAACTATGAACAATGACAGCAATTAGTATTAATGGTCCAATTCCTATTCTCTGGCATTTACTTTGATATTCCTCAAGATTATTATTTCCATTTTATCATTCTCATGACTTTCCACAATCCTTGGGATAATAAGGTCTTTGATGATGATGACAATGATGATAAATAATAATGTAATGACTGTATTAATGATAAAAAATGGTAAAATTCTGGTTTAAAGCAAACGTAAAACCATCTTTTAAAAACAGTAAAAAGAAAAAGTAAATAATTTTAAATATAAAGTCAAAAAAAAAAAAAAAAAGGAAACAAAACAAAAATCAACACAAAGAAATTAGAAACAAAAGACAACTGTAACTACAACCACAAAACATGAATTCCTCATACCTTCATCTTCTTCCATATTGGCTCATCCTCCAGCTTCTCGTCCAGCTTTTCATACCAGGGGGTCTCAGGAGGCTTCTCAGGTGACAGGGGAGGCTCTGGGGACACAGGCGGCTCGGGGCTGGGTGGGGGCAGTGGTGAAGGTGGCGGCCGTTCCAGTATCCCTACTTCACTCTCCTCCACCTCTGACATGTCATCAACATGGATAACCTCAGTATCTTCAGACTCTTTTGGACTATCAACCTGGTCCTCAGGCATCTTCTTAGGGCCTGCTGAGGACAGCTTAGGTGTGCCAAAGGCCTTGAACCAGGCACTCAAGTTGGGGGTGGCTCTCTCCTGTTTGATCTCCGGTGCACGTGGAGTCGGAGGGGGCTCCTCACTGATTCTCTCAGGAAACTCCTCCACCTCTTGGATCTCCTCTTTCTCCTCTTCCTCTCGCACCGATGGAGCCTCTTCCTTCTCTGGTATCTTTTCCCATCTGTTCTCCCACGGACTATCCCATTTCTCTTTTGTCTCCCACTTCTCTTCCTCATCGGCACTGTTGGCTTCTCTTGAAGACTTCATACCTGTGCCAATATCACCTGAGCGAATAATACTGCCTAAACTGAGCTTTGGGCTGTCCCCGACCTCACTATTTGGTACTAGACCTATGCGTGACTCTTTGGCTTTGGCAATGAGGGTTGTCAGTTTTGAATCTTCTTGTTTGTTTATTTTGCCGAAAGGATTAGTTTTTGCTTTTGGTTTTCCTTCTGATGAATTCTTTGTCTCCTTCTTCACAACACCCTCTTTCTTGGCAATGTCTTTAGATTTAATAATAGCTCCAGGTTTTATTCTTCCATCTTTTATATCTTTGAAAAGTTCTTTTGTGTTGTCTAAACTTTCTTTATCACTTTCTGTTTTCTTTTCCTTCTTTATCTTCTTCTTCTTTGGTTCTTCTTCACCATCTTCTCCACTGCCATTCTTCCTCTTCTTCTTCTTATGTGCCTTTTTCTCCTTTTCTTTTGGCTCATCCATCATCAGTTTTCTGCGGTACTCTGCTTCAATTTTGTATGCAATTGCTTCAAATTCCTCAGCAGTGACCTTGCGAGATGGAGAGTTGCTGGCTGAAGAGTATTCACTGAAGCGTGGCACTGTTGGGTCATCCAGCATTGTTGTTATATCCTAAAGGAAAGACACAAAGATGAAATTAGTATCTTATCATTTTTGCCTACCATGCAAGCATAGAATCAACAATGCAGAATATCTTACATAATGACAAATTTAGGATATAGTTTCATAAATACCACAAAAGCACCAATCATCAATTATAGGGACTAAAATAGGGGACCCTAAAAGAAAAAATATATATATATGAAGGAAGTCAATACCCCCACATAAACACACAAAGATATATATATAAACAAACAAATCTATAAATACAGATGCTTATGTATACATACATACATAAATACATATGTACATATACTTATACATATGCATACATACATATACATGTGCATACATATTTATACATGTCTATGTATGCATATGCTTGTGCCTATATACATATTCATGTGCATAACTATTTATATATGTGCATATCTGCATATACATGTGAATACATGCATACATATATATACATCAATATGTATAAATACATACACACACATATATAAGTACATGCATACAAACATATGTACATACATACATAAATACATATAAATGTACATACATACATAAATACATATATATGTACGCATATATGAACATACGTATGTTCTCCATACATACATAAACATATATGAACATATGTATGTTATACATACATACATACGTACGTACATACGTACATACATCCATACGTACATACATCCATACGTACATACATCCATACGTACATCCATACATATCATACATACGTCCATACATACATACATACATACATACATACATACATACATACATACACATATTGTACATATACAAAACTTACCTTCAGTGTCTGTTCCGTAGCTTCGGACAGCGCATTAATTGCGGCCATGTTCTTCGCTGTGATCTTTTTCTTCTTACTATTTTTCTTCTTTCCTTCTTTTTTACCTTCTTTCACCTTGCCTTCTTTGTGCTTTTCATGCTTCTCATGCTTCTCCTGTTTATCATGGTGCTTCCCATGCTTCTCATGCTTGCCCCTGTGTTTCACTTTCTTCTTTTTCTTGCCAGGGGTTTCCTCTTTGGTCTTAACAACAGGCTGGGCCTCCTCTACCTCCTCCACCGGCTCTGCCACTTCTGTGGGTTCACCTTCACGCTCACGTTCACGCTCACGTTCACGCTCACGTTCTTCTTCATCCGAATAGTCATACACATCCTCCACCTTCAGGATCTTTTTGCTGTCCTTTTCCCCTGCATGCTTGTTCTTCTTCTTATGGTGTTTACCATCTTTTGTTTTACTCTTGTGATGGTGATGGTGGTGATGATGGTGATGGTGGTGGTGGTGGTGATGTTTGTCATGTTTCTCCCCGTGTTTGTGCTTCTTCTTTTCCTTGTCTTTACCAATCCCACCCTTTTTCTTGTTCTGCTTCCCAACATGGTTGTGTTTCCCTTTCTCAGACACTTGTGCCTTGTCTCCTCCCTCCTCTCCCTCCTCTCCCTCTTCCTCCTCCTCTTCAACCACTTCATCATCCTCAATGTCATCAATCTCCCCAAAGAGTTCATTGTGTTTTTCACTTATGTAATCTGCATTACTCTTTTCTTCATCATTATCTTCATCACTTCTGTAATCTTCATTGTTGTAATACATGCAAACATCTGGCTCTATATCATCATCATCATCGTCATCATCCACATCTTCTCCTTCAATCTCTTCCTTCTTTTCTATTCCTAGGGCATCCTTATGGACAGTCTTTTTAATTATGTCTTCTTTTCTTGGTCTTCCTATCTTATTCTTTACAGCTGGAATGGCCATCTTTTGTTCCACTTCCTCTTCCTCCTCCTCTTCTTCTTCCTCCTCCTCTTCCTCCTCTTCTCCCTCTCCTGCTTCCTCCTCCTCTTCCTTTTCTTCTGGAGGATCTTCTAGGACAGGCTTTTTAGTCTCTAGTCCATAGTCTTCCATCTCTTCCTCCTCTTCATCATCTTCCTCAGGATATGGGTCTTCCCTCACCAGCAGCGGAGGTATATCAAAATCTTCATCATCATCATCATCTTCCTCTTCATCGTCATCTCGGAACTCATACTGATCGATCTTTGGTTTGTCCTTCTTCGGCTTCTCCTTTTCCTTGTCTTTTTCTCTGCCGAACTTGCCTTTCTTCCTCTCCTTGTTGGGTGGGATAATTACATCACTAATATGTTTCTCTTTTGGCTTCCTTCCTACTTTCTTCTTCTTGCGTCCCCTCTTCTTTGGAGACAGTTTCTCACCATCTATTCTCGTGTTCTCTTTCTCATCACTGTTATTTCGTCTTTTCTTTCTTTTCGCTGACTGCTGGTAGCTCATGTCTATGTACATCTCTTCATCCGAGGAAAGATCCGCCTCCAAATATTTGGCTTTGAGCTTTGCAAAAACTTTCTCCAGATTGTATGCCATGTGTGTGTATTCTGAAAAAACAAGTAATAATTTACTTTCCTCATCAAATAATTTTCTAGACCCTATAGATATATTTTCTACTTAGTACCATAAACAGAAGTTAATGAGTAGAATGTTCAATACATAGCAAAAATTAAATAAAACTACTCAATAACATCAGAGACTACTTATTGTCTATACTTTACTTATAAAACCAATCTCATGTGTATTCAAGTGACTATTAACCTGAATCATTTACATCCATTGCCTACATTTTTCTCTTTCATACACTGTTTCATATCACCTTAGAGGTTTAAGAATTAAATGGGTGAACTAACACATTGAATCTAAGCTTACCACTCTCTGGTCCATTATACAATTTGCAATTGTCCATCATGAGTTTGAAGTCACCTTCAAACATGGCAAGATTGGTGTAATACCCAGCGTCGAGACGTTCTTCCATCTGTAAACAAAATAGCTTAGGTTTTCAAGAAATTGAACAGGTTCTCTATCAGTTTCTAATAAGAACTTAACAACAGCTACAATTGATGATATGGAACAATAAATTTTCTCAAGCCGCAAATAATTCAACACCAATCACATCTATATATATATATCACTAAGTAATGCAATGACTATAAATGTTCCAGCTAAACAGCTAGATGCTAACCCGACTGATGTGCATAGGCCTTCTTATGACAGCATAATAGTTAGGGGCATACTCCTCCTCTACAGCATCATGGAAGGGCCAGGCATCCTCATGATCTCGCAGATGTTCCAAGACCTTATACATTCCTGTGCGAAGATCATCCTCCGTTTGAAGAACCCTGGGTATAAAACAAAAAGAGTTATTTCATAAGTTCAGCCCAAGTCTCACCAATAGATGCTGCAAAACATGAGACTAGAAGGAAAAGACACTCAACATTGCATTTTCATAAATTGAACAAAAAATATCTAGCGCATTGTTGGGTCATAACAAATATCATACAAAGACTTAAGAATTGAATGAGGTAATTCAATCTAATTTCCTGAAAGGTAAACTGTAGCAGACACACAAATATAAACTTACATATGAGCACTTTTAACTTCTTTTTGGTGGTGAAGTGACTGTGTTGACAGCAGTAACATTAGGTTCAGGCACAACTGCTGCTGGACTGAGTGAAAACGCCACAGATGACAAAGAGTTGTTTGTTTTCCGCCCACTATATACCTGTAAGAAAAATAATCTTTACTGCATAATCCTTTAAACAGACTTTACCTGTTCTCATTTTACTCTCATACAATATCACACCAAGAGCTGTTTACGCAGCTAATGGAAGTTTAAAGTATATAGCAACAGACCTATGAGTATCATTATCTGTTTTCCTTTCTTCTTTCTATTAAGATATTCAATTTGCTCCTATAGGAATTTATTACATATGATATCACATGTTATAAACAACATCTGTTCACATTTACAAAAGCTACCCCTTAGTAAACTAAGTAGTAAACTTAGTTTAGTAAAGTAAACTAGATGGACCATAAGAATAAAACCAATCTAGGAACTTAAGACAAAACTAATATCTCTTTTCATTATGTATGAGATGAGATAAAACTATGTTCTCGTTTTGTATGAAATTTCAACATACATAAAACAATAATTAGTTACTGTATCATCAAAGTGAAAATACAATACTAATACCAAGATTACCAAAGACTTTTTTTGAAGACTATAATATAAGCACACAGACCTGAGGCTTAGAGCTCTCCTCCTCCTCATCCGAAATTTCCTCCTTGGCAACACGCTTTTTGGATCCCGGTTTTCTTCCCGGCTTTCTCCCTCTTCTCTTCTGAGGAGATTCTTCCTGAGAGTAGTCCATGACTTTCTTTTCCCGGACTTCTTTGACTTTCTTTATTGGTTCCTTGACCTCCTCCTCCTCCTCCTCTACCTCAGAGGTGTCGTTTATCTCAATTACCTCGACTTCTGGTCTTTCTCTACTTTTGTTCTCATGGCTTTCACTTCTCTTCCTTTCTCTGGGGGATTTGTTAACCTTGGGCGGCGAAGCTATCTCCTGGCTGACTTCCTCTTTCAACACCTCTCGGGCCTTTTTTCTGAAGCACAAGAAATATGGTAGCTGAATATCATAGAACTCAATGCAATTAAATAAGAAAATAAATGGCAATAACTATAACAAAAACTGACAAGTCCTATGATAAAATAAAAAAAAGAACACAAATATTTTTCTCTAACCTCTCTGTCTTCTCTCCTGAAACAGACTCTTCTTCCTTTCTTTTCTTCTTCTTCTCTTCTTCCAGCTGTCTTCTCTTCTCTTGTTCAACTATTTCTATGGCCAATTTTTTCTCTTCCTCTTCTTTCTTTTCCTTCAGTTTCTGTACTCTTCCCGATGATCTCCGTGGGGCAAATTCCATCATCCGTTTCCTTTGTATCTGGTAATACAGAGAAATTTCTTAATACATAAACAAATACAAGCCTACTAATATACATGCATAAGTATGTAAGAATTATGTGTATGCATTATCTACACCTTATTCAATCAGTGAACTACTCATTCATTTAGCAATATTTCTATTTATATATTTATCAATCAATCAATCAATCAAACATTCATCTATCTATCTATCAATGCTTCTATCTATCTATTCATTTACACCTTTCCTCATTTACTCATTAACCCATATATTCATTTACTCATGTACTTAATTATCTATTTATATACTTATTCACCTATTACCTCTGCCAAGGAGGTTAAAGTTATTTTGTTCGTTCATTGGTTAGCTGGTTAGCAGGATAACTCAAAATGTACAGATGTTTATGAAATTTTTACCAGAGGTGTATCTTAGCCCAACTTAGATGCCCTTA